TAATTGATGCTGAGTCCTAGGGTCGCATGCTGACTACCTTAAGGTGTGTTTTTCTATTCTTACTTGAATAGGAACTCCTCTCCCACAGGATCATATAGTGAAGCTGTGGTCCTCAGATGATGACACTATTTGGGGGAGATTATAGAAACTTTAGGAGACAGGATCCAACTGGAAGGTTCCACATAGCATGACTTGAATGTTATATGTGGTTCCCCTTTTCCTCCCCATCACCTGTCCCTTTTGACATGAATATCCATGTTTGTCATGTACTTTTACCACCATGATGTTCTACTTATGTGCACGTATTAACACAGCCATCAGCTGGACACTGTAAGGCCCAAAACCAAAGTAATTATTCTCTCTAAATTGTTTCCAGTGATTTTGATGTATGTACACAAAAGTAAAAAATATAGTAATTCTATATGCACTATATAAACCCTCTAATTTTGTCCACAGACAGTTAAAAAAACAACTGTTTGCTACTTGCTCTTCTATATCTTCTAAGCACAGTAGCTGGCGTGTGCTACTTTTTCTCTAGTGGCACCCATTTTATTTGAAGTATCTTAGCCATAGCATAGAAGAATATATTAGCTTTGCTTTTTTTTGGTGACAAATACCTATGATAAAAAGGAAAGGTTTAGAGGGTTAGAGAGATGGTTCAGTGGTTATGAATAATTGCTTCTTTTCAGAAGACTCAAGTTCAAGTCCCAGCATAAACATTATGGCACACAACCATCTGAAACTCCAGTTCCATTGGGTGTGACACCCTCTCCTGTCCTCCATGGAATCCAGGCATGCATGAGATGCACATATATGCGTTGAGGCAAAACATTCTTACACATAAAATGAATCATAAGAAAGTTTTATGTTGGCTCATAATTTCAGAAGTTTTATTCCAATGTTAGCTGGCTCTTCAGCTTTTGGAGCTGTGCCCCAGAGTCCACTTACTTCTTAGTAGCTAGGAACCAAAGAGAAAGAAAGAATCCCACAACCACTGCAAATGCATATCCCTGTTCTATGTACTGTGGATAACAGAATATACAACACAAGGATTGTAGTTATGTGGATGATACTGTGTGTATATGTGTGAGGCAAGAAATTGTTGATGTGTTTGCAGCATAACTTTCTTCTAAGGTTTCTCATCAGTGCTTGTGACTAAAGCCTCTACCACAAAGGTCTTCAAGCGACACTGGAAATACAAAGCATAGCAAAGTCCCTACACAATCTTACCCCTTGCTTCTTACCCTACCAGTCACCACATTCCTTGCTTCAAACCACACTGGCCTCCTTGCCATTTCTGCAAATGCCAGACAATGCTGTTTCCCTTCTGCTCCACATATAGTAACAATTTCTTACCTCACACATATGCATACAAGCATAGAGGACTACCTACGTAAGTCAAAATCCCTGCTTTGTGTAGTCTACTATCCAGTATCTAAACCAGTGCCTAACATGAAAGCAAAAGCCTCAGGACTGACCAGTTCTCGCAATAAATTATTCTGTGCTTTTGCATAGTTTAAAACAAGAGAGAAAGGAAGCCTATTAGAGATTCCTTAGAAACAGCTACTAATGAAAGAATTTAGAAGGCACAAGTGACTCTATTTCTTGTGAACCTTTTGTGATTCCTGGATATGGTCTTCTATTACAGAATAAAGTGAATAAAAAAAAATGCTGGGGAGAAAGCAGACAAAGAGGTTTCCTCATTCACTGCTGCAGCCACTATGGAAATCAGTGTGCAAGTTTCTCAAACCACTAAAATAGGGTTTGGTGAAGTAGCTCAGTCAGTAAACACTTGCCTTGCAAATAGACTTCAATATCCAGAAATCACATTTAAAAATGCCAAGCATGGTGGCATGTGCTTGTAATCTCAGTGCTAGGGACAGGTGGATCTCTAGGGCTTGTTGATCAGCCATCATGGCCTAATTTATGAGGTCTGGATCAGTAAAAGGCACTGTCTCAAAAAAAAAGAGATGGGGACAGATAGAAAGGAGAAGAGAAAAAAAGGGAAGGGAATGGAAGCAAAGGGAAAGGAAGGGAAGACAAGGGAAAGGAAGGGGAGGCAAGGGAAGGGAAGAGGTCAAAAGGGAAAGAAAAGGGGATACAGTGCCTGAGGAACAACACCCAAGGTGGTCCTTTCTCCTCCATATGCACACACAAACAGAAGACTAAAACTAGGGTTACCTAGCGGTGTCATTGCTAGACACAATGGGACATAAAGAAAAATGAAATTATGAATGTTTCAGTAAAACAAACACATCTAGAAACTATTATATCATTGAAATATTCTAGACTAGCATGTTCTCTCTCAAACGGAGTGTCTAGCCATTGATGATATAGGTCATGAAACCAAGAGTGGCCTAGTGTAGAAGAAATCTGTTTTAGAAGGTTGAGGAAGACCACAGAATATACAATGCAGAATGTATACACATAGGAAGGGGACTACTTCGAGTGAAAGGACTCAAGCTACAGTGGGGGGAGGAGATGGAATAGAGGAAGAGGGAGGCTCAACCCCAAAAACTACATATAAAAACTCTGTAATGAAACTGTCACTTTTCTGCTAATTAAAGGAGAAAATATGCATCACTGTCAACATGCAAATAGTTTTCTTCCACAGAGAAAGTACCTTTGCTTCCTCTCAGCTGATAGCTTTGTCACCAAGAGCAAATAAAGGACTAAAACGAACATGATTCAAAGACAGGTGTGGAGCAGGAATCAGATTTGAGGCATGGGTAAAACACGAGTATTTTATTTCTGATCGATTTCATGGGGGAGTTTTGTTTAGTTGTGTGTTGTAAGGCATTCGTATTAGCAAACTACGTTGTTCATTGTTTTAAACCAGAGAGGGGCCTCTAACTGGCCTAGCATTGTTCCATTCCCCTTTGTCCAAAAACCATTTATCTGTATTTCTATTTCAACAATTTGTTTAGAAATCAAGCAGAAAAGCAGGTGTCCCAATAACAAATGCTAACTCAGACAAAAGGGGAAATCTCTCAAGGTGGTCTATTGGGAATTGCAGAAGTATTGTCAGTAGGAGAAAGGTGAAGATGCCGAATTTTGCACTAACCCTAGTTAAAAATTTACCAGTACCCACTGTATTTGACATCCCCAAAGTGTAACATGGGGCACATTTACCATTTCATAGAAGAATTGTTCACAAACAGGGAACTAGACCATCATAAATCTTCACTGTTTTTCTGGCTAGGTCAGTGTGGCAAAAAAAAAAAAAAATTATCCTTTTTATGAGGCATTAGGAGCCAGGGTAAATGTGTGAGCTTTGGAATTAGACAAAATGATTTTAAATTATGGATCCATTGTGTATCAGCTGTGTATTTCAATTTATCATTTAGCTTTCTGAACCTATTCCTGCTCCTCTCAAATTGCATTCCAAAGACATAGCCGTTAGGATGTATCTGGTAACACAATTAAATTACAAGATGAAGTGTCCAGACGTTTTCAGGATATGGAAGCACTCCTTGTTTTATCACATTCTTCTCTACTAGAAGAGAAAAATACATTCAGCTAATGCTTGGTGGGAAACACCATTATAAAAATATCATTATTTTAATTGTTTTGCATTAAAGATTTCAAATGTTTTTCACAAATATATAGGGATTTGGTGGTCTGGACATCTAATAAAAAGGCCATATACCACACAGCATTGTTAGACATGAAGGCAGATCCCTGCATTTTCCCTCTATTGCTGAGAAGGTGTTTAAGAATGAGTGGATAGTGCATATCCTTACAGCATCTATCCCTGAAATTTGGTAAGAAAAGAACTGCTCAAATCTTAGCTTGTAGGAGGAGATAGAAGATAAAATGCAAGAAAACCTTTGCTATAAAGGGAAGCGGAAAACACGATTCGCCCCTAGGGAACATCAGTTCTCCTCTGTCTGACTCTTTTTTTTGCTCACACACACACACACACACATAAATATACTGAGAAATTTCAAAGTCACTGGGTTAAAAGCAAACTTTAAAACAGCCAGGGAACCTACAAAGCAATCCCTATTCTGCCCTGAGTTACGTAGGGAGCAGCTTGGATCTTCACATAGCTAATTCAGTGTCAGAGGCAAGCCAGTCCCAGGATTGTCATGAATCTTATATGAAGGCTAAGTGTGGCTTCTGTCAGCCACCATTTGAGGGGTAGGGATTGGAACCCCAGATTTATCCCTTTGTCCTCTTCAGGTCTCATGGGGGTGGGAACCCTCTAATGAGCCACTTTGATAGCCCAGTTTGATATTTCTGATCTCCAGAAATGAAGCCTATACTAAGACCTAGTCCAAAATAGAAACTACGTTCCAATTCTCAAAGGGGAAAAAAAATGAATGCAATTATCCGAGAAGGAGAAAACACCAATCACACATAAGCCTGAAGCTGTCTGAGGTAGACATTTTCTTTTTCTTTCTTTCTTTCTTTTTTTTTTTTTTTTTTAGGAAGGGGGAGATTATTTTCTTACATTTTAAAGTTATAGTCCATCACTGTGGGAGGGTCACAGTGGCAGGAGCTTGAGTCAGCTGGCCAAATCAAACCATGGAAGGAAACAGAGCGAAGTTCTAGTGATATGCTTTCACTTTTCATAGGGATCAGTTCATTTAAAATATGTCCAGAGACGCTAATGTGAATTTTTAAGCTCTAATCCTGAAGAAATCCACTTAAAATTCTTTACTTTGGATAGTTATTTTCCCATACAGTGTTTCTATTGGAATGCAAGAGCTTGGTTTGTGATGGGGAAAAAATAAACTTCCTGTACAAGCTCCCAAAGGCTTAATGACATCAAGGAGTGGCATGAGACTCAAGCTGGATGAATACTAATGCACTCTGAAAGGTTTTGGATGAGCTTAGAGGATTCCCCAAACCAAGTCCTTCTATGCAGTTGCTGTCTTCATGCAGGACATGATTAGACACTGTGTGGAAAGCAAATGAGAACCGAATAATTATTGTATTATACTGGATAGTGTCTTGCAGCTCATTCAATAATTTTTCACAGTCTACTTTCAAAAGGAAACATGGAATACCTCACGAATTTTCATGTCATTTTTGTGCAGGGGCCATGCTAATCTCCGTATTGTTCCAATTTTAGTATATGTTCTACAGAAGTGAGTACACAAGACTCACTTTATACCTACTGTTACAATGACCCTATGAAGAAAACTGCGACATAGAGGATCAGAGAATTGAAGAAGACTAACAAGAAACATTATTAAAGTGAGATAAGATAGAGCCAGAAGCCAATTCTTTGACTCTGTAAGCTGTGGTCTATGCCAATGAGCAGTGGGGGTAAGCAGGCCCAGCATCTAAGCTAAATGGTACTGAAGCTATTTTTTGACCCATACCCTTGAATCTTTTAACGAAGTGTGTTCCTTTCTTGCAATATACCATGAAAGTGAATTGCTGCTCATATTTCTGATATCATTCAGGGTCAAAAGCAAAACTACTTTTTGGAAAAGGTTTTAACAGGATTGTTTTCAAATCATCATGTTAACATCTATGGTTTGCAATTTGTTTTTAGTTTTGTGGGGCTTCTACATTTTAAATAACAACCATTTTCATGCAATATTTTTAAAATTGAGTTTGGTAAATGTTTGTGCAGACAGTGCTAATTTCCCAATTTTGAAAGTTATCTTTGTCCTGGATTTTAAAATCATGAGTTTATTCCCTACAAGTAACTGTGCTCTGTGTTCAAAACTACACTTAGTGTTTTCACTTGGTTCTAGAAATATTGATAAAAATACTGTAAGTTTATCTCATTGGAAAAGTAGTCTAGTACTTTCAACACCCAAAATATTTTCTCAAATATCATTCTTTTTAGAATTTAAAACTTTATATAAAATTTGTGAAAAGTTAAGCTAGGTAGAAAAATAAAAATAGTTATTATCTAATAGGAAACCAAATAGTCCATGGAAAAATAAGAAAATTAATTCTACAGGTCCAGACTGTGTTTTGTTCTTCTAAACTTGAATACATATAAATTCCAGTTTGTACTGTTTGGTCTGTAAAAATGGCTAGAAAAGGAACTTTATCTGCTCTTTACCACTTACACTCAAGATCCATGTAGGTGATCTTCTCATCTATTGTTCTTTTCTCTTTCTGCCTCTCCTTTCTAGAGAGTAGATGAAGTCAGGGATGTCAGATCAGAGCTCTGGAACTGATATCAGAAGGAACTTCCTATGAGGAATAATAGAGAAGAAAAAGGACAATGGATAAAGACATGTTTAAAAAATAAAATGTTTATGGTGATACTCAGAACTAGAATTTGGACGAATTATCCACAAGACTAACACTCAAGATCTTTCTAGTAAATACTATGTTGGCTGCCTGGACGGTTGATGGACTATTGCGGTAAATAAGGGTCAGGATAAACAAATAGGCCGAATAGATGTTTATTCAGGGAGAAATAACTTACAACCTAGACAGATGAACACCAGGAAATTTAACCCGATCCTCTCCTGTCCGAGTCACGCCAGAAAAGAGAGCGCCTTCCTGGCCCCCTCCGACCTCCTTCCTCAGGTCACCTCCGCCCATCGCTCCACCCCCCAATGGGCGTGGTCAGTGCTACAGAAGGACTACCTCACTACAATTCCCCTTTTAGTCTAAAGAAAAGATTTAGGCTTAATACAAAACTATATACAAAACAGTGAATAACAAGTGTGCTCTAAGAAAAGGAAAATCGAGAACAAAATGACCTACATATCTAGTCCTAGGGTGAGGGCATAATGGAGTTTACAATAGAGTTGTCCTAAGTTGGAAAACGTAAGTCTAGTACCTAATATATCTAACTAGGAAGAGAGAATAATAGTTGTGATAGTTTAATCTTCAACCTCATCAAGACCTGAGAAGGAAAATAACAATACTAGAGTAGACAGGAAATGCGGATGGACAACTTCCAAAACGGTGCAGCAAGGACAGAAACAGCAAGCCACCTGAACAGTCACCCTAGGTCTCACAGCGACGTTGGTACACCCAGATTTGGCTAAGGCCAAGAGAACTTGACAGACCATAACAACAGTAGGGAAATAGAATGGCTGTCTTACCCTGACTTGGCAAGGTCAAGTAGTTTTTTATATTTGTCTTTTGTAAGTACATAGGACTGTATGTCCAAATCAGTGGTCAAGGTGGGGGCAATTCTATGCCCAATAGGCCATTAGCTGAGGCGAGATTGAACTCCAGCAGGAGCAACAACAGTGTCCAACATATTTTTGGGAAAATGTACGGTGTTGTTAGGAGCAACAGTGTCTCATGTCAAAGGAGTACTAATATTAAAACATTTAAATGCCATGTTCTGCATGTCTATGTTGTAGCACACGCCTTTAATCCCTACACTCAGGAGACAGAGACAAGCAGATCTCTGTGATTTGCAAAGTAAACCTGGTATGCAGAGTAAATTCCAGGACAGATAAGAGTTACACAGTGAAACCCTATGTCAAAAAATAAAAAAATAAAAGTAAAATAGAGTAATAATAAAGCCACATAAAGATAAAAAGCTCAGAGAAAATCTGGTTACTGTATGCTATTGTGTTGTCTCTACATTGTTTGACTGCTGAGAAAATAACAACAACTGATAAAGGAAATGCTACTGGATTAATTCAATTTGTATATTTTAAAAATGCTTTGACTCAAACATTTAAGTTCAAGGACAAGTTACTGGGAAAAAGGATTTCTAGTTTTATTTCTACAGAAAATGAAAAGCTGTGGATTCCTTCCAGACTAATGTGGTTTGATCAAGCCAGGCCCCCTGAAACAGTCGCTGATGATCCAACATTCAAAACAGCTTGGACAAAGCAGCCTCAAAGACTACAGCCAAGATTTCTGCAACTTCTTAGGATCCCCATGACAGCGCCCCCATCAGCAGGAAGTAGTTTGGAAAGAACGACGCCCAAATTCCCAAATATTGTTTATAAATGTTTGTTTTCATTTAAATGGACTTGGTTATAAATGGTTAATGATCATAGTCAATTCTTTTTCAAGGTAAAAAGGGAATTATGGTATAGATATGAATACTTTGTTTTGTAATGGATTTTCATTTATTGATACAATTTAAGGTCAATTTTGTGATGTATATATTTCTTTTGTTTAGGTATTGTGTTTATATAGTTCATTCAGAAACATATTGTATAATGTAGTACAGATTATAGATAATTACCTATGATAGTCAAAGCTTAGAGTTAAGTTAGTTAGGTTTTCAAGATACACAGAGATGTATTTGAGATAAATAGGCATTCTTCAAACCTTTCAAAGACCTACAGAATATGGCATTTAAAGTGGTTTAGGGTTTTCGTGACAGTGAGACATAATTGCTCTTGGCAATACCACTTGCACCAAAAAGGAAGATGGACATCGAAGAAATACATTATGAAGTTTGCTTCCAATATGGCAAGACTAGCCATTTGGACAAGATACTGCTCTTGTCTGGACTGTTTGACTTTATGCTGTATAAACTGGACATGCAGGACCCACAGAAAAGTGACTGCTGATTCAAGATGGACATTGCTACAGAGTTCCTGCTTCATGGAAGAGTCTGTGAGACAGTATGCAGGACACAGAGAAAAGTGACTGATAAACTGCCAATACAAGAAGACAGTTTAAAGTTTCCTGCGTTGCTGAAGAGTCTGCTAGACACACTATGGCCTATGGGCTGAAGATGGAAGATTACAAAAGAACTTTGGGTGACCAGGCAGTGAGTTGTCTCTGTCATTTCTAGAGTTTAAATATTATCCTTCTGTGGTCTTTGAGGGAGTTGAAGACAGATAGTTAAGGTTATAGTTTTCTTAGTATTAAAGATAAGTTAGACTTTAGACACAAAGATGTGATAGATGATGGAATGTTTTCTTCAAATCTTGCTAAATGTTAATGGACTAAATAGTGTTAACTGTGATTCTTATTTGATAACTGTTATGTGATATATTTTGCTATGTTAAGGTTAAAACCCTTCTTTTTATTTAAACAGAAAAGAGGAGATGATGGGAGATGCCATTATGTATATACGTTTCTCATACTGGTTAATAATAAAGCACTGTTGGCCAATAGGAAAGGAAGATAGGAGGGACTAGGAGACAAGGAGGAAATAGGAAGTAGTAAGGAGGAGTCAAGATGGAGAGTCTGGAGAAAGCAGTATGCTGCCGGCTCCCCGGTAAGAGAAATACATAGATCATCAGAAATGGGTTAATAATTAAGGCAGAGCTAGCCGATAAGAAACAAGTAACAGGGCCAACAGCATTGTGTCAAATACAGAGTCTCTGTACATTATTTGGGGCTGGTGCGGCAGCAGGACAAGACCAGCGGCGGCAGGCGGAAAAACTGTATTCCTTACAATGGACTTTCCAGATATGCACTCCCCAGTTAAGTGCCTATTATGAGTCAAGCACTATGCCAGGTAATAAATACATTGTTTTTCTTTGAGAATCTCATAGCCCATAATATAATATAGTAAGGTAAGTGTTGTAATAGAGATTTGGTGGAGAAAAGGGGCTCTCAATCCAGCATCAAGGAAAAGTTAAATTTATAAGTGGATTGCTAGGACCATATAAATGAAGACCCTAGCTCTATCACTTTTCCAGCCTTGCTAGGCAGCATTGTACTTGATCCAACATAAATTCTCAATGGCATTGTAATAGCATTGGGTTTTTCAGAATGAGTGAAGTCATATGGGTGATGAAATCAGAAAATAGCTTTAGGGGCATGCCCAAGAGCAGAAGCTGATGTATTAGTGTGGGGCGTGTCCAGGAATTGCAAAGGAAGTTGTAGCTATATATGGCTAAAGTACTGTATATCAGCAGATAATAATAATAATAATAATAATAATAATAATAATAATAATGAACTGTGACGCCAGAAAGACATATAGGAGCACACCTTGAATATTTTGTAGGCCAACAATGAGAACTATAAACATTTTAGAGAAATATTAAAGCTCTTTCACATATTAAACAGCCCAACACTTTCACAATAGCATGTCTAGGTACTGTTATTAGAGCACAAAGGAGGGGCTGTCTAATCACACTACCCAGAGACGTCAGCAAAAAAATGTAGTTCTTAAGTTTTGGATGAGTGAAGCAAACTCATACTTTAAGGGGAGAAAACTATAGGTCTAGAGGTAGGGCTTCACTT